TGGACCCCACCTGTCATCCCCAACCTCAGGCCGGCAGCTGCCGTTGCCGCCATGGCCGCCCGAGCCGCCCCACGACGCTGCCGTTTCCGCCCACCTCCTCCACCCCGCGCGCGCGCGTTCGTCCGTGGGACCTCGCCGCCCACGTCCGCGCCGTTTTCCCCCATCTCTCCCCTCCAAAACCGCCACCCACACCCCACGATGCCGCCCACGCTTCCCGGCGGTTGCCGCCCACTCCGCCGCAAAATCCGCACCACCCCGCCCCTCCCGCTCGCGCCCAAGTGGTGGAACTGCACCCCCACCACCTCCTCCACCGTTTCCCCCATTTCCCCCCAAGAAAACGGCGCCGGTTTGCCCCGCCACGAGCTCCACGTCGACACCCCGCTTCCCGCCGGTTGCCGCCCCAAATCCACCTCGCTCGTGCTCTCTCCCACCCTCTCGAGGCTATAAAAACGATCCCTGTGCTCTCCTCTCCCATTTCCCCAATTTTCCCGGGCCCGTCGCGCCTTCTCCCGCTCTCCCCGCGTGAACCCGAGCTCCGCCGCTCGTCGCCGTGCTTCCAGCCGCACGCCACCGCCGCTCCAGTCGCCCCCGCGCTGCGCCGCCACCATCATTGGCATCGCCGTGCCGTGCCGCACCCCGGCCCCTACTCCTTTTCCCCTCTCCGCCTCCGAAACACCACTGCACCGCGCGCCCGAGCCCCGCCGCCCGCCAGCGCCCTCCAGCCGGCCGCCACCGTCACTCCCGCCGTCGCTGCTCCGCGCAACTGTCACCGACGGCTTCGTTGCGTCGTCCCGTACCCCGGCATCCCCTCCGCTCCTCCATTCCGCCGCTGGAACCGTCACTCCACCACACCACCCGAACCGCCATCATAGCAGCCGCCTCCGGCTGCCACTCGCCGCCGCTCCAAACCATTTCCGGCCTCACGTCCTCCTCCAGTGGCATCGCAGCGTCGATAGGAAGCCCGGCGTTCCCCTCATCCGAGCTCCCCGTCGCCGATGCCCGTTCCCGCCACGCGAGGTCGCGGCCGCCCTCGTCCGCTTCCTCCCGGGCGCCGCTTGTCGCCGGAGCAGCGACGCCATCCTCCGCCCGAGCTCCGCCGGCCGCCTTCCGTCGCCGGCGCCCCTCGGTGAGGACCCCCTCCATCTCCTCTCCCTTTCCCCTCTTTTCGTCGCCTCCCGCGCGTGCTGTCGCGCCGGTGGTCGTCGCCGGCGACCATCGGGCCGTGCGCCGTCGCTCCCGGCCGGCCGATCGGTCAGCCGGCTCCCGCTCGCCCGTGGCCGCCCGATCCCCCTTCGGGGCGATCTGGGCCGTCCACGTGGCCCTCCCGTGCCGCCCGAGTCGGTGCCTCTGTGGCGCCACGTCGGCGCCACCTCCGCTAGCCGTCCGTCGTGGCCGCCAGGTGTCTGCCACGTGGTGCGCCCGCGGACCAGCGCGTGCGTGGACTCGGTCCACGGTGTGCCCGCCACCCGTGAGTCACCGACAGGTGGGGCCCGCTTGCCGGCGCCACCTCTCCCCCGTCGGATGACGTCATAATTGATTTAAATTGCGCAATAAATCGGTAATAATTCTAGAAATCCATTAAAATGGCTCAAAACTTCCAAAATTCATATCTAATTCATTCGAATTCCGAATTGAGCCATTCAACTTGCAAAATTCATCTAAAATTGAGCTCTACATGTTTGTTTAGTTTTTATGTACTGTTTCCTTGGTTTTTATTAGAGTTTTTCCTCGTTTTGCGTGCCAGCGTGTAGAATCCGTCGTTTCGGAAGTCCGCGGTCGCGAGGAAAAGAGTTTAGAAGATCCAAGTGAAGAAGCAAGGCAAGTCACACATTCCCCTTGAGCATGTTGATCCTAATTTATAAATGTTTTACCGTTTACAAATAAATATGCATGTTTTGCTAATTACACGGGGTCAGGGTTTACCTATCTGCTCGCTTGTGCCATGTTTACTTGATATCTATCCTTTGTCAACCTTGGGTGATAAATTGACTAGCTCGTGTTACTTATGTGACCTAGCTAGAACTATATGCTTAGCCATGCTTAATTACCACTAGCTCAGTCGATGGGATAATTGCAGTATTAGACATTCTAGTATCTTGTTGAGCTGCGTGCTCGAGACGTCTGGCCATGTTTCATGGTCGTAATTATCCAACTAAAATACGACTGAATGGTGGGCTGTGGGTGCATGGTTTTGCGAGTCGCACCCATGGCAATTAAGGACCGGTTCACGAGAAACCCTGGAAGACTTACAGTGCTTACCACAAGCGGGAGTGGGTAACTGCTTGATCTGAAGTATAGCTCGACCCTTTCCTAGGCACCGGTGGCGAGGGTGGGCGTGATGGAGTTGGGTCGGCCGGGGTGTCCGGTTGTCCAGCTGCCGGATTCACCGCGGCGCAAGAGGGGACCGCCCACTGCCTTTTGAGGGGTGGGGGTGAAACCTTAGCGTGGTGTGGATGGTTAGGGGAGGGTTATGCGAAGGGTCTCGTCACAATCACTCGACACGGTGACGTGTGCATCATGGGCACATGATGACGCGGTGACATGTCGGTGGGTTGTGTCTTGTGGGTACAGTTGTGCACCTCTGGCCAGAGTAAAACTATTCGAATAGCCGTGCCCGCGGTTATGGGCGATCGACCAGATTCACCGTGATTAGTCTCACACTTAATAAATCGACCCAATGCACTGTAGTACAGGTGGGTTGGTTGGGCCTGTTCAACGTGGTGTAGCGTTGATCAGTGGAGATTTTAATGTCACTTTAATTATTCAACAGTTTTACTGTTTGCTAAATAAAATGTTTTACAACCGCCTTTATGCAAATAGCCACAAACCCCTCCTTGTATCCCCTTGCACGTCCGCATCGTTGGTGTGGCTTGCTGAGTACGGTGGTTGTACTCAGCCTTGCTATTATTCCCCCTTTTCAGAAGTGTAGTGCTTCTGAGCTGAAGACGAAGTTGGAAGACCAAGGCTCAGACCCCAGTTGAGTTTTGCCTGTGGAGTGGAGCTGAAGCCCCGCTAGGATCGCCTTTTTCCGCTGCTGCTGCTTTTGTTTCGGTGTGAGGACTAAGTGCCTCTTCTGTAAGTATTTTACGCTTTATTTACGTTTGGAACTGTATATTACTTGTCGTTTTGTGTACCCTGGCTGGTCCTGGACAGGGATTTAATACACAAAATAGTCTGGAAATTTGGGCTAAATTTCTGGGCGTGACAATCAGCACCAAGACAGATGGTTAACCCCAGATTGTTGACCAGAGAACAACCACAACATGCTGGGCAAAATGTCAATCGGCTGACTCAGGAGCAAGTTGCTGCAATGTTCTTGCCAAATCCGACAATAGCCGACCCAACACAGCCGTTGCCGACTCAGCAAGCACAGCCGAGGTAGCAGACAGTTCATCCGACTCAGCAGCAAAACTTACAACATGCGTCAGCGAGATTGAGAACACCTGACAATCGGCCAATGCAGCATACTGTGAACCAAGTTATTCCTGAACACTTGGTCCATCATGTACAGGCCGATCAATCAGTTGTGCCTCAGATTATCCCTGAACATTTGGTACGTAATATTCAACCGAACTTCTAGAACTATCAAGGAAGAAATTTGAATTATCAATATCAGCCTCTGTCACCTCATGTTTAGTATCAGCAGGCAGGATCGCCTCAACCTCAGTTTGCTCCTCAGTTCAATCAGTTTGAGCTAATGCAGCAACAAACACAAGGAGTACCTCAGCAAACATCATGGGCTGATATGATTGCCGATGTAATGAGGGAGCAGGTTGGGTTCAAACCAAAAGATACTGGAAATTTGTATCGGCATCCTTATCGAATATGCGGCATATTTTTTGGAAATTCGGTAAGTGGTCTCCTAGTAGGGAAGGTCCTTATCGAATATGCGGCATTGTTCGAGGGAACGCATATTTTTTGGAGACACTTCAAGGGGAGCCTTTTCAGCGAGCAATCAACGGGAAATACTTGAAGAAATACTTCCCGAGCGTTTGGCAAGACGCTTAGGAGGTGCTATGGCCAGTAATTGGATTATCGCCCTAAGACCAAAAACATGTTCTATGCTTTTGGATTCACGTTGTTCATAAAAAAGGTAGGGGGGGCATGTGTTTACACCCAAATTTGGCACCTAGAGATTAAATAGAAAAAATTGCCAAAATTTGGAAGTCTGCCGGTTTCCTCCGAGTAGGGCCAGTCTGACCGCCGTGCGTTGGGCGGTCAGACCGCCGGTTTAGGGCTGGTCAGACCGGCGGCATGTGGCCGGTCTGACCGGCAGGTCCGAGTCCGACTGTGTTTCGTCGGGTCTCGAGGTTTCCTTGCTCGGGAAGGCATGTTTCGGGTTTCATTTGATTTCTACCCCGAGTTGGACGTGGAGGAGGGCCTGTAGAGGGCAAGACCAACCCCTATATAAGGGACATGGCCGGTTCAATTGTAACTAATCAATCTACAATCAATCAATCGAATCGTTTTTCATATTGCTTTTAATTTTCTCTTAGTTTATCCATCTTTGTCAATTTGCGCTGTAAATCGTCCGCCGCCGCTGCGAGAGTGCGACACCCCTTTATAGGTTTGTCCTGAAAACCTTCCGTTTTGCCCACGAGACGGGTAGTTATCTAGAAATCGGCTCCGCTAGCCGATTTAGTTATCAAAACCCATCTTGGTCTAGCTTTTGGCTAGATCGAGGTGGTTGGCGACTCCATATCACCGCAAGTCGTTTAGTTGCTGCGATCGTGCTTGTCGACTTTTTACGAAAAGTTGCCAACAAACCCCTCTGGATCAGAGCAAATCCACTCAACTGCACGCGTGTGCATGTTTCAGAAACGGATTCATCGCAACAGTTGGTTTACGATTTCGTAATAAGTTGAAATTAGACTCGGATTAGATCGGTTTCATGCAATTAATTAATATATACTAATAAAATAGATGATCGACAAAGCATATTACTAATTGATTTCTCCGTGCAAACCGGTCGCTAGCTCGCTGGACAGTTGTCGTCATCAATGGCGGAAGAAGATATCAACAAGATGATGAGCTCCGACGGGGAGATATCATCAATGGCAGAGAGGGCGGCGAGTCTGTTGCGGGAACTGCGGCAACTGATCGAGGACGGCTGCGCCGCCGCCAAACCCCTCGCCGAGATGGTCGAGTACTGCGCCAAGCACGCCGCCGGCGACGAAGCTGAAGGCAAGGAAGAGGAGGTATTAGATGATGGCGAGTCCAGCGACGATGAGGAGGAGACGGACATGCTCAGGCTGGAGGCCAGCTCGATGGACGTGGAGAACATGCTCAGCGTGGCCGCGCAGCGCACGGCGGAGCTCATCAAGGACAAGGACAAGCCGCCGGAGCCAGAGCCGTCGCCGGAGCCATCGCCGGAGAACGACCCCTTCCACGGCTTTCACAGTTTGCATTCATTTACTGAGCACTGCTACACGGACTAATTTTTTTTATTACTAAACTTTTACTAATAATCGTCTCAACCATTTGATTTAGGTATATGAAAGTTATGAAAAATCGGCGTACACTCATATAGCGTGACACGTCTACCCTAAAGTTCAACAAATATCTACCCTATAGTTCAACAAAAACAAATTCTTTCACTCATTCACTCATCACTCATTCTTTCATTCCTCACTCAACGGTCCAGATTACCTCACTCTGATCCAACGCTCCGGATTCACCCCACCTCCCTCCCCACCCTGACAGCCCGACCTGGTGACCTGCGCCCCCTCCCCCAACCCTAATCCCTCCTCTTCCCCTCTCACGCGCTGCCGCCGACGCCCTTCACCTCTCTGCCAACGCCGCCCGCGTCTCCGCGCCGACGCAGCCCGCGCCTCCGCGCATCGCCCTTCGCCTCGCCATCACCGCCGCCGTCGATTGCCTCCACCCTCTTTGATGCCCTATCCCCGCCACGCGCAGCTGCCTCGCCGGGGATGACCTCGCGTCAGTGACAGTGGTCCAGTGCTCAATTTGCTGCTCGGTCTGCGTTGACACTACTGAGGTCTACGGCGAGGCTACTCCCCTCAGGTCTTATCTCAATCCCCCGCCTACGGTGGTGTATGGTTCGCATACTTTGTAGTGTCCTGTTGAACTTCGAGTCATTTTTCTCACTAAGAAAATGGTAGGTGATAAGATATCAGGTACTTCGGTTTTATTGTCTCTCAAACATCAGTAGTTCGGTTGTGTGTTTAACCAAATGAAGCATAATATAATGTATATTCTTATGACAATGTATTAGATCGAACAATGGTTTTTTTAGGAGTATTAATTTGGCACTGTTATTAGATCCAACAATGGTTTTTTTAGGAGTATTCAATTTCAATGTAATCTGGTTCTTGATCTACAAAGGGTTCACGTGTACTGTGTTGGCTTGGGGTCCAGTCTCCTCCTCCTGCACGTGATGTGTGCTGAACACGGCGGAGAAATAATGGACTGCCAACATGATCGGACAATTCATTGCTTCCTTTAGTTTAACTTGCAGTGTGAATGATTTTCCTATTAAGAACGCATGAAGTCAGAATTAACTGAAAGAAAGATATTGCGTGTTTAATTAAACTATCCACAGAATCTGAGTAATTCAGTTCATTTTCTTCACATTCTTTTCAAGAATAGTCTCTGATATTTCGTATTAGAATTGCATGCATATATACAACCCTGTCTAATTATATCTGTTCAAAATAATTTCAGCCAGCTTGACAAGCAATAATTTCTCAGGAACCTCAATTGGCAATATCACCACACTTCTAGGAGGAGGAGAGGCTGCTCCGCGGGCTTCGTAGGGATCCCGGCGAGCTCGCCCCCGTGACTCCTGCTTCCTCTGGTGTGGCTAAATCAGTTACGGCTCCTCTGGGGCTTTGCTTGTGCCTTCTGTTCTGATTAGGTTAGGACAAATTTGTAACGGCTTTGTGGTCTAACATTTGCTCTGTGCGGCCGAATTTTTTGGTGGCCCTATAATAATTGAGTTCAACTAATCTACCCTTTAGAGCAACTCAAATATCGATCTGTCTTTTGTTAATCCAAGCAACACATATGCTGCAATGGATAAGAACAAAGAATATGGTGCTGTTATAATTTACATGTTTAGAAAAAAAAACTAATGCAGTAAACACAATTATTCATGGAACCAATGATAATTTACACTTGCTATGGATATAATGTCCTGTATATTTCAGAATAGAGTAAAGTGCACGAGCGGTCCCTAAACTTGTGCGGGTGTGTCACCTAGGTCCCTGAACTCTCAGAATGCACTTTTGGGCCCCTTAACTTATCTTGGGTGTCATATAGGTCTAAATGGGCTCCAACTCACTCCGTGTGCTAATGTGGCATGCCATGGTAGCGCCTATGTGTCAGTAGAACCCATATGGCAGCGATGCGGTCACAAGTTCCACCACGGTGAGTGCCTTTCTGCGTTCATATCTCCCTGTACTGATTTGATCTTGACTAGCATAATTATATGCCTCCCTAGAATTTGGCCCAGAGAACCCCAGGTATTCATTTTTTTGGCCCACGAAAAAAGCCTAGCCCATCAAAACAAAGAAAACCCTAACTCCTCTCCAGTCTGGCTGTCTCCCCCGTGCGCTCTCTCCCCTCCCACTCGACGGCGTCACGGCGACGGCGCTCCCATGACCCGGTGACCTCGACGCGAGCCGTCAGGCTAGCCGCCGGCGTGACTCCGGTGCTCCCGCCGCTCCTCCAGGCTGGCCAGCTCCCGCCAGGCCGCCAGCCGCGCGCCCATCCGTGGCGGCAGAGCCGCGCCAGCGCCCGCGCGGCCGCGTCCTCTCTCCGTCCCGCCGCGTCGTCCGGCCGTCCAGGGGCGGGCCCAATGGGTAGTCTAGGTAGGCCCAGGACTACCCTAGAATTTGACCCAGAGAACCCCAAGTATTCATTTTTTTAGCCCACGAAAAAAGCCTGGCCCATCAAAACAAAGAAAACCCTAACTCTTCTCCAGTCTGGCTGTCTCCCCCGTGCGCTCTCTCCCCTCCCACTCGACGGCGTCACGGCGACGGCGCTGCCGCGACCCGGCGACCGTGACGTGAGCCGGCAGGCCGGCCGCCGGCGCGACTCCGGCGCTCCCGCCGCTCCTCCCGCCGGCCGCCGCTCCTCCCGGCTGGCCAGCTCCCGCCAGGCCGCCAGGCGCGCGCCCATCCGTGGCGGCGGCGCCGCGCCGGCGCCCGCGCGCTTTGGTCTCACCAGATCGCTAAACCTAGCTTGGGCTCGCCGCCTCCGCCTCCGCCTCCGCCGCGTCGGCGATGTCGTCGTCGTCGTCCAGGCGGAGGCCCCCGCGGCCGGAGCGGGTCATGGACAACTGGGAGCGCCTCGTCCGCGCCGCCCTCAAGCACCAGCACCGCGCCCCCTCCGCCACCGCCTCCTCCGCCGCCGGGATCGGCCTCGCCTCCGCCGTGCCCCCCTCGCTCGGCAAGACCACCAACATCGAGCACATCCTGCAGGCTGCCGACGACATCGAGGATGACGACCCCAACGTCGCCCGGATCCGTAACTTACTTTACCCCTCCTCACTCATCCACCTTTGCTTCCTCTTCCTCTTCCTCTTCCCACCCCCCTAATTTCGGGGGTTTAGGGTTTCCGCTGCTCTACTTTTTACCACTTGTTGTTGTTGATGATGATCATTTCATCTCCTTGCACTCCAGTTTGTGAGCAAGCCTACACCATGGCACAGAATCTCGATCCCGACAGCGATGGCCGGGGTGTTCTTCAGTTCAAGACGGGTTTAGCTTCTGTCATCAAGGTATATATGCTTCTTCCCACCCGTGCCACTAACTCTCTCTGTCAATGCCATTTCTGTCTAACTTGCTCCCATCGCATTCTACAGCAAAAGCTTGCTAAGAAGGATGGCGCGCCCATAGACCGCCAGAATGACATCCAAGTCCTCTGGAACTTCTATCTACAATACAAGAGTCGCCGTCGGGTTGATGATATGCAGCGTGAGCAGGAGAGGCTCCGCGAATCGGGAACTTTTAGTACAGAGTATGCCATCTCTCCAATCGCACCACAACTAGTTTTGACCAGTTGATGCGCCCTTTTTTTTTGTTTCCTAACAACTAACTTCTGCAGTGCCCGTTGTTTCTGCCAGCCATTTCTTAACAACCTTGTTCGATGAAATCGATGTTGCATCATTATATTGCTCTCGTGTTTACACTCTATTGCAGTATTGTGCTAACCATAGAAAGACAACTTATGCACATTCTAATAATTCTCATGACTATTTTATTTTTACCAGCATGGGATCTAGGGCTGTCGAGATGAAAAAGATCTATGCTACTTTGAGGGCTTTGCTTGATGTTCTGGAAATTCTCATTGGACAATCACCATCCGATAGACTTGGTAGGCAAATTCTAGACGAGGTAATTGTGCAGTCATTACAGAACCCCTACTCCTGTTAAACCCTTTTGTTGCTGCTGCTCGCCAACACCTCTGAGGATTTTTTTTTCATATACTCACTCAACTAGTGTTTTTCCCCCTCTCATTTTCGTTTTACAGATTAGGAGAATAAAAAGATCTGATGCAGCCCTGAGAGGTGAACTTATGCCATATAATATTGTACCCCTTGATGCACCATCATCAGTGGCAAATACTATTGGTTTTTTCCCGGAGGTACATGTTGCAATGCTTGTTGTCCACACAGCACAGACCGTTATCATCTTGCATTACTTTGCCAAACAGAAAAATATTTATGGTGTTGTCTATTGTTTCATGCAAATCTATTAGGTCAGGGCTGCAATAGCTGCAATTCAAAACTGTGAGGACCTGCCACGATTTCCTTCTGATGCACTTCAACTACAGCTAAGACACAAAGATGTTTTTGACCTTCTGCAATTCGTATTTGGCTTCCAGGTTAGGAAAAATCTCATACCATATATTTCATGGCAACATTTGCTATGTAACCATCCCTTTTTGGTTACATACGTGCAATTGCTTTTTCTTGTTGCACTGACTCAATATGACAAATCTAAAATTAGGGATGTAGTTATTGATGCATTTTACTTATGCATGAAATTTGAAGTCTAAATTCATTCTACGCAAACAGCAACAAAAACGAGAAAATTGTATGACAATGAAAAGGAGAAAAAGACGCATGCCACTATTTGGACCTACTTGTAATTTTTCCTTATACATTTTCAAATTAAAAGTTTAATATGCAGGGTGCAAAGACATCCTGTAGACTGCATTGTCATTTTTTGGAAGCTGTTATGTTCTTTTTGGTGCCAAAACAATAGTTAATTTCAAGGGTGCACAAAAAAATCTGTATGCTTAGCATACGGGCAATTCTTCTTTAGTTGACCACATTATGTTGGTTTCTATGAGAATAATTTGAATTGATTATGCGTTGAGTTGACATGTGACAGTTACAACTGTTACTTTTTCTGAAATCGTGCAATAATTTTCCTTTAATCTTTGCTGGTGTGACATGTTGGAGTATTTAGCAAATTCCATACTAGGAGGCATCCTCTCTGCAGATCCAGTCATAAATAGAACCTTTGGAAATCTTGTACTAGCTTAGCAGTTAAAAATTGATTGGCATGACCTGTGTCCTTTCCATGCTGCATCTGCCAGCAAATCCTTGTTCTGCAGTATGCACATACTACAGAATATTTATTGTTCACTACGCCTTATTCTCTGTAACGATCAACTTCACTTGATTACATGCTGCTATAGTGCTATGGCAATTTTTGATTGGTTTCTTAAGCCAGTATACCATCTAGCAGCTTATGTGAATCCTGATCATAATCCGCTTCTACTTTTGAAGATTAAAATGTTATGGCATCTTCTAGATGTTTTGTGAATTTGCAATTGCATCAACATTCTTGATTTATGTTGGAGCTTGTGAGCAAGGTTTGCATGTCGAGTATCCTATTCTAGGCAGGATTGTTTTGTGTTGACTGTTGACAGGATATGAATTACAGGATCAAACCTGAAACATCATTATTTTAAAGGATGGCCAGATCTGGACTACTATTTAGTACACTTCTCCCTAATTTAGATCCTGTACAACATCATGATTGGAATGATTGCCCAAGATTGTAGGATCATTACGGTTCTACTATTCAGAAAGATAGAAACCTTGTGAAGAACTAAAGATTATAAAACAGAAATAAGTTTGGTGCAAATATGTGCTTTGTCATAATTTGTTTGGTGATCTTATGTTATTTAAATTATTTACTCGTCGATCTATTGTGTGAGAAATTGTTTCTTTCTGTTTTCCTGCTTCTGTGTACTGGTCTAATTTATATCACTGGTTACTGCCTTTCTATCGAGTTTCTAATTAGATTAAATTGTTTTTCCAGGAAGATAATGTTCGCAATCAGCGTGAGAATGTTGTGCTTGCCTTAGCCAATGCCCAATCCCGGCTCGGCTTGCTTGATGTGACAGAGCCGGTTAGTTCTTCCCCTATTCTCATGGAGTATCATTTGGACTTGTAGTACAATAAGATCTTTCTTCCTACTGACATGATACTTCCTCTGCTACTAAATATATATAGTTCTGCATGTAAAAAAAGGGAGCACATGCAACAATAATGGTGGTTACCATTTAATACTGTCTCAGCTTTAAAAATGTCACCAGCCTTTTGCTTGATCTTCACTTTAGCTCTACTGGTCTAAATAAATTTCATTGGTTGCTGTTTCCCTTCATAGAATCAATGAAAGTTCAAACTTGTTTGTAGAATAGAAATATAAGTCAGTATGGCTAATCTATTATAATTGCCTCGGTGCAGCGGCCAGATGTTTTATGAAAGCAATGTTGAAACCTTAAGTAATGAATAAGGTATAGTTACTAGTAATTAACAGTGCATAGGCTGATTACTCTTGTTCCTTTCTTTTTTGGCCTTTAAATTCCATGTACTTGCGATTTTTGTCTATAAATTCTTGTGATACATATTATTATACAATGAACATTGGCAATGGCCATGGCTCTTGTAGAAAATTGATGAGAGGGCTGTGACAGAAGTATTTTTGAAAGTGCTGGACAACTACATGAAATGGTGTAGGTACTTGGGCAAGCGTGTTGCATGGACCAGGTAATTTAACCTCTCATGGTTAATTTTCTCTGTGCCTGTTATTATTTCAATGGATGCTTTCTAATTAATTTCCTTTTCTATTAGCCTTGAAGCAGTCAACAAGAACAGAAAAATCATATTGGTTGCTCTGTATTTTCTTATTTGGGGTGAAGCTGCAAATGTCCGTTTTCTTCCAGAATGCCTATGCTACATTTTCCACAATGTGAGTTCCTTTCTCTCCTACTAATTTCTGCCCTTTTTCTTTTCATGTAATTGCAGATGATGACACGTAGAAATTATTTCAACATAGGATCCAGTGTTATATATATATGGTCTGGTCTGTTTCTGCTGATGACCAAAATTATTAAATACAGCAAACATTTAGATGACTAGTTATCTCAGCTTTCGCCTTGTCAAGTTGCTTTTTTTAGGGTTCAATCTTATAGTACTGTGAGAACACATGTTGGATGTTGCACATTTACTTTTTCTATGTCGCAAAATGATAATGAGCAATATTGTTTGTGGAGATCATTATTGACTGTACTTTTCTACTTTTCTGTTGAGCGCTTTTCCTTCAGGAAACTTCCATGTTTCTTGATAATGGGATATTGCACTACTACATTCAGGGAAGCTTGCTTTATGCTAAAAAAGGATAGTCAAATAAGTTTTGTCGATAATTCCTCATTTAGGCAAATATTAGATCATGAATTTCTTTTAGGTTAAAGTCCATTTGTAACCTTAAACTGTGCTCAAAGTCCATTTCTCATCTTGCATAACACCCTAAACCATATTTTATCGTGGTTCTAATTGATATGATAGTGGTTTTTCGCTAGCATGAACTTCAGTTAAGTATTATGATTTTCGACCTAATTAAGTACCATTTGCATCAACAAAATATGCAGCTAGGAAAACCACCTCCATTTCAAACAAAACCACTAAAAAATATGTCCCAAGGTGTTTCTTGTCCCATTAAGAGTTGAAGGTGAAAAATATCCAGTTTTCTAGTGAAGGTGAAAAATGGCCATTGGCCAAAGTTTAAAGGCTATAAATGGACTTTACCCTTAGTTTTTATTCTTTGGATGAACAAAACACCATGTCCTAAAGTAACCAACTGTATATTTATGCCAAACTTGAGCTTGACTGTTGATATTAGACGATTCAGTATATCTTTGATGCTTGGACATGGGTATCTCGTCACAGCATTGCACATTTACAAGGATTCAGAAGTCACAAACATGGTGACATGGGTATATATTTTAATAACATGATAAAATTAATTAGAGCAGATCTTGTTTAGAACGTTAGCACAATTCCACCGTGAAACCTTAAGCTTGGGCCTTTGCTCTTCAATCAGCGTACTTACATCTAGCTTCCATCTCCTAAGGATAAGATGGGTGCAGTGCGAAGCAACTAAGTTACCCAGATCGAGATCGAGGATGACGGGTACAGAGCTGAGATTGATAGGAAATCATCAACAGGCAGAAAGGAAGGGGCCGGGCACTGCCTGATCAAGGGCGAAGAACTCGTTGGTGGGAACATGGGAGAGGATGGAGAGTGGATGAAATGCCGAATCTGTGTTCTCTCTTGAATATCCTGGCACTTGCGCAGTATGGCGCTCTCTCAGAGATATATTTGTGTGAACACGGTGTCCAACACTGATACAGCAATCGGATGGCATTTTGGTGTTACGTAGCAGTATATATACTTATTAGGAGAGTAGTTCTTTTGGTTTTAGTGGCAATTTCCTGTTGTACAATACGCTGAGCTTACTGATGCTGCTTGCAAATTGTCAGATGGCAAAGGAACTTGATGGGATTCTTGATTCATCTGAAGCTGAACGTGCAAAGAGCTGTACTATTACTAATGATTCTGCTTCGTATCTGGAGAAAATAATTACTCCGATATATCAAACTATGGAAGCGGTACGTTCAGTTATTGAAGGTCTATCTCAATTTACTTTTGGGTTTAGATGATGCTTCTGCTAAATCTAAATCAGTACCAATTAAGTTGAATCTTCTGAAATCTTCTCATGTCTTATTGTCTACGGCCACTACTAGGTGGCATTTCGTTGTAACTGCGCACTCAGTAGTTTTGTCCAATTCATTTGTAATTGGTTGATTATTGTGAGGCATGTGATGATTTAATCCTTTTTTAAAGGATAAATTGAGCTAGTTACATTGCAGCAACCGTTTTCTGTATGTTTGATATTTTTCTTCTGTATTAAAGTTATATCCATTATATACCTTCTACAGGAGGCACAGAATAATAATAATGGGAAAGCTGCACATTCTGCATGGCGAAATTATGATGACTTCAATGAATATTTCTGGTTTTTTCCCTTTAAACTGCTGCTTTTATGCTGTTTCCTATTATATCTCTTGCTTCTCTGTATTTAATCTCTTGCATATATTTAGGTCACGCTCCTGCTTTAATCTTGGTTGGCCACCTGCTGAAGGTTCTAAATTTTTGCGCAAGCCTGCTAAGAGGAAACGAGTAAGTAGTCATCCATAGTATTTTAGGGCTAGCAATGTGGCTGTGTGAGTTGCAAACCTATGGAAAAATCAGCCTATGTGTGCTTTTTGTATCATTTGAGATTCTCCTTTCTATCAGTTAGCCAACAGTACTTTCGCACCACTGGGATTAGTTTCCTTAGAGATAGATTGTGTAACATTATTTTTTTTCCGTAATATTAGATAATAGATCAGAATCCTATGTATTAATTTGGAAGGTTGTCGGTTTAATTAGTAAGTTAGAGATAGGGATGAAAACGGATCGGAAACGGACGGAAACTAGCTTTATCATATTCGTTTTCATATTTTTTTCGGAATTGGAATCGGAATCGAAAACTCGGATACGGAAATGAAATCGAATATTATCGAATACAGATACGGAGCGAATATGAGACGGAACGAATACGGTAGCGAATATTTACCGGTATATAAAAAACCCCTCAAATTGAGTTTCTTGATCAAGGAAGAGATATCGCTTATTATTTTAGTTCAAAATCTCCAACATTTATATCGTCAATTTTATAGACGGTCCCACAACCATATGTGAAAATTGATTTTCATGGCTGTTCCTCTAAGAGATCCATATGCAAATATGATTTATCATTTTCTATTCCCAAGACCTTTTACTAGATGTATAACTTACTTACCATTGTATAAATTGGAGATTTTATTTATTTTACTTCACATCTTCGAAACTTGTAATGTTTGTATTATACTTTAAATGCTTTCAAATACAAATGTTATAAGCTACAAAGTGGTAGATCCCGTTGAGCTCTTCAACTTTGATATGGAACACATCTCCATCAGATGTCGTTGAATTGTAGGGCCTGTTTGGCACAGCTCCAGCTCCAGCTCCACCCCTCCTGAAGCTGGAGCTCAGCCAAACAGTTTCAGCTCCACCAAAACTGGGAGTGGAGTTGGGTGGAGCTCTCTCACAAAATGTACTAGAGTTGTGGAGCTGAGTTTAGGCAGCTCCACAACTCCACTCCAGACTCAACTCCTGGAGTTATATTTAGGAGTTGGAGCTGTACCAAACAGGCCCGTAGATATGAGATTTTGTAAAAATTAATATGGTATATTATAATGAATATTTAGACCCATAAATGACCTCAAATAATAAAATAGTCAATAATAAAGTTGTAGATCTCATCGAGCTCTACAATGTTGATATAAAGTTTGTCTTCATCTGATTCCGTATGAAAAAGTTATGTATATATACGTGTTTTTTATATAATTTGCTCAATGTCTGCGGATATCCGAAAAAAATTCCGGATAGTTTCCGACTGTTTTCCGATTCCGACGGATAGTACCCTTACTGTATTCGTTTTCGTTTCCGAGAAAAAATATCCGAATTCGTTTCCGAATCCGAGAATTTCCGGATAATTCCGACCGAAACTATCCGAATCCGAAAAATGACTATCTGAACCAGTTTCATCCCTAGTTAGAGATATGCCATTGTTAGGAAAGTAGAGACTGTCTTAAGGGCCAAGGCATGGTTTCTATTCACATAAGTTGTACCACAGGTACTGTAGAACAGGAGTCGTTGCTACAAAATGGGCACTTACGTACCCTACTGCAATCATGTAATGAATATGTAGAGTGAGAACAATAAGCCTCAGTATTAAAAAGGAGTTGTATGTATCTATTGACTGAAAAGGAGAGTATTAAAAGAATATGTATTCTGTTAAGTAAACATGCAGTGTTCAATCTTCATCCTAACCTATCCTTATGCCTATTACTTAAAAGATGCACTTGGTGATTGTGATGGTAACATGGTGTGCTCTACACTCCCACTGTCCACTAACAGTGGATCCAAAGTGGGTTGTGCGCGGTGTAAAAGAGGGCAAGATGTAGGTAGTGCAAGGCCGTAGAGGCATAACAGAGGTCAAAGCGGAGCTCGTTCAGTCACCATAGAAGAACATATGGTGTGGCATGTGTTGGGATTTGTGACAAGGGCTTGCTGTGCTATGGAAGTAGGATTTTTAACCCATAGCAAACTTACGGGCATTAAACTTAGTTATGTAAAATATTGGGTCTTACCGATGACTAAGGCTGGGGCAATGACTAGAAGGAAATGGACACATTTATTTTACTGAAAATTTGTACATATCTTGTTTGCATTATGGTTATTTATGTGCACTTAACTTTGCTTTTAATTTTATATTTACAGACTGGAAAGACAAACTTTGTTGAGCATCGCACTTTTCTGCACTTGTACCGTAGTTTTCATCGCCTTTGGATTTTTCTAATATTAATGTTCCAGGTCAGTGGTTTGATATCGTACTTGTACACATGTATAGCTTAAATCCAAGTATCATTTCTGAATACAGTTTATGATGCTAAAAGTGCTCTTTTCTGATGCAGTGCCTAACTATTATAGCTTTTCATCATGGGAAGATAGACATTGGTACCATTAAAATATTAGTTAGTGCTGGACCAGCATTTTTCATACTGAACTTCATTGAGTGTACGCTCTCTATTTCTTTGTTCATGGTTTCACTTTTGCTAGTTACAATTTTTGGCGGATATACTTTGTTTCATCACGAAGCTTTTCATGCATCTCATTTTTTGCCACTGGGTTCATCTGACATGTAGCCTTAACAGTCAAAATGTTAAACCAAGATGAATGTACAGCTTAGTGACATAAAGAGAATCCCTTTTCTAATTGTTATGTGGACTAGAATCAAAGGATACTTCCTAAGCTGACTTTGGTGGTTTTGTTCTTCTCTAGGCTGCTTGGATGTGCTGCTCATGTTTGGAGCATATAAGACAGCTAGAGGTTTTGCCCTATCAAGATTAGTCATCCGGTTCATTTGGTTGACTGCAGTCTCAACATTTGTAACCTATCTTTATTTGTGAGTATTCAGTATTTTGTTCATGTTTTTTTAATGTACAGCAAGTCACCTCACTTGAATGCTGAATGTCAAACAGGAAAGTCTTGGATGAGAAAAATGCAAGAAGCTCTGATTCAATTTATTTCCGGATTTACGTTCTTGTTCTTGGTGGTTATGCTGCTGTTCGGCTTGTGTTTGCATTGATGGCCAAGATACCAGCGTGTCACAGGCTCTCCAATTTTTCTGATGGGTCACAGTTTTTCCAATTCTTTAAGTGGATATACCAAGTATGCACATTGTCATCCTGCGCAGTAGTTTGCAACATATCTACATTGTGAAATCGTGTACTTATATTGTTTCTCCTGTTTGCATTTAGGAGCGATATTATATTGGACGAGGACTTTATGAGAGTATAGGCGAATATACCAGGTTCTTTTCTTTTACTCTAGATGATTCTTGGAAATGTACAAGGCATTCTTAGTTTTTCTGGTGATCTCTCCAGATTAGGAAAAAAAATTCTAATACCCAGTCGTTATGTGGAAATCGCAAAAAAGAAAAAGCTTGAATATTTTTTCTGATTTGTTAACCATATACATGATTCGTTACCAACCTGTTAGTTTGAATAATTCACCAGCGGTTCTCTTATAGCTATTTTTTTGGTCATGGTATGCTATTTACTTGTGACATTCTGATGCAGATACGTTGTGTTTTGGTTGGTTATACTGGCATGCAAATTTACTTTTGCATATTTTCTCCAGGTGGTTATAACTGTGTATTTCAGAATTTTAATGTTTATTATTTTTTTGTGTTATCAAAATTTACTCTTGTTTATTGTGTTATCTCATTTCTGCAGATTCGACCTCTAGTCGATCCTACGAATGTGATTGTGACACTCCGTAATCTGCATTATTCCTGGCATGATCTTGTATCAAGTGGTTAGTACATTTTGCACATATCACTAAAAGCATTGCCCATTTTCTGCTACAGCTTTACTAAGAAGAAAACTATTTTCTTCTTTTTTCCTCTAAGTACGAGATAAGCAAATTCCTTCCTGACAGTGTTTCATTTTAGGGAATAAAAATGCTTTGACCATCCTGAGTCTATGGGCACCAGTCTTAGCTGTAAGTTTCTTGTGTTGACATGTAATTTTCTATGAAATAATAAGATGAACTTTGAAAATGATACATGGTTCATTTCATTTCTATGTTAGATATACCTGATGGACATTCACATTTGGTACACTCTTTTATCTGCTCTCGTTGGTGGTGTTATGGGTGCTAGAGATCGCCTTGGAGAGGTACATTTTGTTCTGATGTTCTAGAACTATCCCGAAGTACTTAATAACTGTATGCTCACTCTTTGTAGTTTGCAAACTGTAATCATCGTTACATTTGCTAATTTAACGCAGATCCGTTCAATAGAAATGCTTCATAAACGTTTTGAGAGCTTTCCTGAAGCTTTTGCAAAAACCCTTTCCCCACTGAGGTACTCGCTCCCACTAATCCAGAATTGCTATTCTGTCTGCTCATGATAGGAGCTGATTAATAGATCTTATAGTTTCTTTTAGATCTGTCGTTTGGTTAATTTGATTTTGATCTTCCGATCCTTGGTTTTTATTCTGTTTTTGTGTAACACTGCAGGATATCTAACGGACCAGTTGCTCAGGTAAATAAACTTACATTTTGCTTCTAATACTAACTTCAATAGATTGGTTCTGACATGCAATTATTTAAACTTCACCAAACATGTCATTCTAATTTAGTTTGTTCCGTGACTTCTGTCTGGAGCTACTAGGTTTATTCTTAACTTGTTAAGCACCAGATTTGTTGTATTCTTACATTATTCTCGCCGCTACCTCTCTAAACTTATGATAGCCTGAACATATTAGTATGACCTCCGTTTTCTATCCACTTCAAAGATCTGGCTTTTTTTTGAGTGAGTACATTTGGACACACACCGCAATCACACTATCACACACGCACACACCTGCGCGCTTCAAATATTATGGGAGGCACCGAATGGCCCCTAGAGTGTGCATCCACTGAATTTGCATGCATGTACACTCCTAAAATTGGTGGACAACCTCCAAATCTAGGATTTGAACCGTAGAGGGTTGGATGCACAATTGCGCCACTTAGCCATCTGACCACAATCTAGCTCCCCAAAATCAGGCTAGCTGATATACTAGTCTTGTTTTTGACGTTCTATCAAGTGTAATATCTGTATGTACCATTGCTTTGGTTGTCTCAACATTAGGGTCCAGAAATTACTAAGATGCATGCCTCGATATTCTCCCCGTTTTGGAATGATATTATTAAGAGCTTACGTGAAGAGGACTATATCAGCAACAGGTACATGTAATCACAGCCATTTGTTATTTTGTTATATCCCATTTGCTTCAGTATCATGACAAAGTTCTCTTTCAGGGAAATGGATTTGCTTATGATGCCAAGTAACTGTGGCAATCTAAGACTTGTACAGTGGCCATTGTTTCTTCTGACTAGCAAGGTATCCTAATTGAAATTAGCTAGATAGATCCCTTTTTTGCATATATATTCTTTTATTGGTTGCTATGAATCTGTTGGTTTTTTCTTTTGTAGATTATGTTGGCGAATGACTATGCTTCAGATTGTAAAGACTCACAGTATGAGTTATGGGACAGAATATCAAGAGATGAATACATGGCCTACGCCGTCAAGGAATGCTATTTCAGTGCAGAGAGAATTCTTCACTCTTTAGTTGATGGTGAAGGGCAGCGTTGGTATGCTTTCCTACTGAAAGATGAAATATCTGATACTGACACCAATATTGTGTTGTATTTCCCCCAAGTTTTCTTTACTTAATGCCAATGCATACTATTGATACATGTACAGGGTTGAAAGGCTTTTTCGGGATCTGAATGAAAGTATAGCACAAGGTTCACTTTTAGTGACCATAAATCTCAAGAAGCTGCAATTAGTCCAGTCGAGGCTTACTGGTTTGACAGGACTTCTGGTAAAGACTATTGCACTTTATTTTGGAGTAAAATGCAAATAGAGAGATATCGTGCCTTGGTTCTTGTTTAATTATTTCCTATTTTTTCTGTTTGGTAAATTTACCATGAAGAAATCTTATGTGGTAAATTGAATATCTTTTAGATACGCGATGAAACTGCTGATCGTGCAGCTGGTGTTACAAAAGCTCTCCGTGAGCTTTATGAGGTTGTTACCCATGAGTTTCTGGCACCGAACCTGAGGTATGTGGTGAGAACTCGCTGTTTAATTTGCAAAAGACATAGCTCCGTTTTATTTTCTTCTGAAAATATGCTCTTTCTTGTTACAGGGAACAATTCGATACATGGCAACTACTGTTAAGAGCTAGAAATGAGGGGCGTCTGTTCTCTAGGATTTTCTGGCCAAAGGATCTGGAAATGGTACTTCTCTTATGCAAATAACTGAAATTTGCTTGGCCTTTCTATATCCTTGGTTGAGTGACTATGTTTGCCTGCAGAAAGAACAAGTTAAGCGGTTACACCTACTTTTGACTGTTAAAGACTCTGCTGCCAACATTCCCAAAAATTTGGAAGCTCAGAGAAGGTTGCAATTTTTTACGAACTCTCTATTCATGGATATGCCGGCAGCAAAGCCTGTCTCGGAGATGATACCCTTCAGGTACTGTAAATATGTATGGACTTCATTCTATTTCAAAAATAGGAACCTATTGACACCTAATTATCTTGTGCAACAGTGTGTTTACCCCATACTACAGTGAGACAGTGCTTTATAGCATGTCTGAGCTATGTGTTGAGAACGAAGATGGCATTTCTATACTTTTCTATCTTCAAAAAATCTATCCTGGTATTGTTATGATTCCGCTGCTTTATTACAATATCTTATTGTCTCTGAAGGTTCTTTACTTTTGGACATACTTTGCTCCTTCTTTACATATTTATATTTAGTGCTCACCTATATAAATAAGTGGATAGCGCTGGGACTTGTTAATACTATAATTGCTTATAGATTATGGTTAGTAGTTATCCGTTGATTGTAACGGGTTAAAGAATCATTATTGCAATAAATAAATGAAAATAAAATAAAACCTTGAATCCCTTTAGAACCATAACAGACCACAGCTAATGTCTTCACATAACAATTTTCAACTCCAAACAACATATAATAATTAGCATTTTCAAAATCAATATTTATCTAAAGATGCTTGTTTTCATTATAATGTGGTGAGTTGTTATGGGTTTGTGGCATGGCGTTTTATTTGGTTTGCAGATGAGTGGAACAACTTCTTAGAACGAATCGGTCGGGGAGAATCATCCGAAGATGATTTCAAGGAAAGTCCAAGTGACATGTTAGAACTGCGGTTTTGGGTATCATATCGTGGACAAACTTTGGCAAGGACAGGTCAGTTTGTTGTTTCATTTCTTTTGTCTGCAATATAAATGATAAAGTTGCAATGGAGTTCATATCCAACCAATATAGTATGTTTAATGCTACACCTGTATATCAACTTTATTCTCATATCAAATTTCATGTCTTGTCCTACCATTTGATTGCTATATTCCTTCATATTTTGCTGAAACAGTGCGTGGCATGATGTACTACCGAAGGGCCTTGATGTTGCAGAGTTACCTGGAGAAGAGATATCTTGGGGGTGCGTATTTGGTATTCTGTTGGTACTAGATTAATTCAATACGTTTCTCGGCTATCTTCATCATTTTGATTGTTCTACCAGGCATTGAAGATGGATATTCTGCAGCTGAATATATTGACACTCAAGGTTATGAGGTGTCTCCAGATGCACGGGCCCAAGCAGATCTTAAATTTACTTATGTTGTTTCTTGCCAAATATATGGACAGCAGAAGCAAAGGAAAGCACCAGAGGCTGCAGATATTGCGCTCTTAATGCAAAGGTAGCTTGGTAAATTTGTGTGGTGTGTATGGTGTGCTAGGTGTTCTTGGTTCCGTGTTCATTATGCGAAGTTCCCTGATTAGTGTCTTATCTTAATTGTTGCTGTTACATGCTGTAAACTGTACCATTGAATAAATGCTGATTTTTGTTCTTATAACTTGTAGAAATGAAGCTCTTCGGGTTGCTTTTATACACGAGGAGGATGTGTCAAGCGATGGCCGTAAAGAGTACTACTCCAAGCTAGTTAAGGCTGATGTTCATGGAAAAGATCAAGTTAGTATATTCTCATTAATTTTCTTACTGATATTTACCCTATATGGTGCATGTTTCTGAACCCTGCTACACAATATGCTATAGTAGATACTACCTCCGTTCACAAATGTAAGGGATTTAGGTTCTTTTGGAGAGATTAAAGTCAGGGGGAAAGACTAAGGGATAGTTGGGGAGTCAGAGGGTAGGTGGAGCCGTGGAGGTAAGGGTGGGTGAAAATTAAATGAAGGGTGGTTGGAATCCCTTATATTTGTGGACAAACTTGAACCCCCAAATCCCTTATATTTTGTGGATGGAGGGAGTAGACAATAGTTTATTGGATTGAACTGTCAACTATTTAGCGTTATTACTTGTTGGCCTTACTGGCTGTCAAAAGAATTAGTGAGTGATAGGTAATCAAGTGCTCACAGGTTCCTGATGTCCTGTAGTCCTCTTTCCTTGTTTGCAATCCCAGAAACTACTGTGATTCTCAACTATTTGACATTGTTTCCTCTAGATCAAATTTTCTTAGGTTTATAAAGTATTTGCAACAATGTCTTCTCAATTTTCATATGTCGAGTAAGAGGATTAGAAGGAAACATGATCTTGGTCACCATTTCATAGTCTCTTGCTACTGCATTATGTGTTCTTGCTACCAAAAACCAGCTCCAATGCTGTCTGCATTCAGCACTTAACTCTTCTAGTATCTTCAAATGTTATTGCTCGACATTGCTGTGTATCAATCTTGTCTTCTGCATATATTGCTATATAGCTATTTCTCCTCTGCCCTTTTCCAAGCCTTGCTAAGTACTTCATCCCAAAATAACTTCATTTTTAGCCTCCACCGTTTGTCCCAAAATAAGTTCACTTTTACTCTCTAACCTACCCACTATCAGCAAATCGATGAGTTTTATTCCTTCAATACCCCTTGCCTACCCACCCACTAATACTACTTTTCTGCTAATGAGGGGCACTTTTGTAGTTTTTTTTCTCTTACCTTGTTTTTCACACCTAGAGCCAAAGATGAAGTTATTTTTGGGACAGAGGGAGTAGACATAAATAAAAAACTTATGCACAATCTGTAGAAAAGTAGTGTTAGGTAATTTTTAATTGTATCCTCTAATAAATTAACAGTTTATGAAAATATAACTCATGTATTCCGTTGGTGTTAATCATGGTAGTCTGGTTACTAATTCATGTTACTGTGCTGAGAGATATCCTATATGATTTTGAATGAAATATACTTTTGAATAAGGTCTTGAGATTAGACCGTTCAACTATATGACATGCTTCTTATTTTATTCTGTTCCCTGTTGTGGTGCACTTTAATTATCCATAATCCGAACTCTAGAAGGAATTTTCTTGTCAATCTATGATGTATTTTACTGGTGTATTTTGCATCAGTTATGTTTTACTTAACCATACTGTTGCACCTGTAGGAAATATACTCCATTAAACTGCCTGGTAATCCCAAGCTCGGCGAGGGAAAACCTGAAAATCAGAACCATGCTATTATATTCACTCGAGGAGATGCAATACAGACAATTGACATGAATCAGGTTTTCTTCTTATCATTATCATTAACAGTAGCCTTGTCCACTCCCCTTTTCCTTAATGAAATTAGGTCGACCAAATCTTTTGGCCGACCCGGCAAAAAAACAGTAGCATTATCCTTTTTGTTGATATATTCCTCATGAAATGTCGAGCTTGTCTAGATTCTTATGTGTAATTCTATGAGATAGATTCTAAAAATATGCTCATGTAGTACGCTGCTTGCCATTTGGATTATTCACAATTCATGCTGTTATTAACCATGATTCTGACGGTGATAGGTCCTCTTCATGCTTGGTAAATTGGTGTAAACAACTAAACATGAAGATGAGTTCTTGTTTTTTTCTTTGTGATGGAAGTATTAACAAAATCACTGGAGAAAGGTATCCATTGTGTACAAACCAGGGGCCACGGGGAATTTACACTCAATACCTCATTGAGTGAGGTAGAGGACATCTTTAGGTGCTAACATGTGACATGCAGATTAGATTCAAAAGAGATGTGAGGATCATTGACCCAGGCTCATATGGAGAAATAACATGGGGTCATATTCTGACCCATCTACCTTATCTTGTCCATTGGTCCATGCAATACATTAGTTTATACTTGCTCTACGTAGATGAAATATACTTGGCACTCCCCTCTTTTTCGAAAAGGTGTCTGTGCACCAGAAACCATCTTGGATCCTTGGCTGATAAAATTTCTCCTGTAGGATAACTACTTAGAGGAAGCAATGAAAATGAGGAATTTACTTGAAGAGTTTCGTGGTAAGCATGGAATCCGCCCTCCAACAATTCTTGGTGTTAGGGAACATGTGTTCACGGGAAGGTATCCTTACTATGACTACTCTCAGTTATTCACTAGCTTTTGGTTTTGCTTTTATTTTTGTATTAACCTATTATATTTTATTCCTGCTGCAGTGTTTCTTCGCTTGCATCATTTATGTCTAACCAGGAAACAAGTTTTGTTACTTTGGGGCAACGTGTTCTTGCTTACCTCAAGTGAGTCAAATTTAGCTAGTTGCAGGGAATAATATCTCATTCTTACCACATTCTCTTTTTTCCCCCGCAACAAACCTGTGACAATGGTTTTAACCAAGGAACTTAATTGTGTTTTATTGTTCTTATTACAGGGTTCGAATGCATTATGGACATCCTGATGTTTTTGATCGCATATTTCATATAACCAGAGGTGGCATAAGCAAAGCATCCGGGGTGATTAATATAAGTGAAGATATATATGCTGGTTGGTATTTTGTATGCTCCGGTTAAGAAGTTACCTGAATGTGGTTATTGCTGCATTGTTCATTGAAAACATCTCATGGCCTCATGACTGTCTAGGCTGCTTGTTTAACTTGGAAAAGGAATCTCCCATGGTCTCCGTGAAAATAAAAACCATAACTGAAAAAAAAAAACTATTGGGTTCCTTGATGGATCTATTTTTGTTGCCCCCCTCTCGTAGGTTAAGTCTACATTCACGAGACAACCCATCAATCCTGCAAAAAGTTGAGGTGCCATTATTTTGATAAGACTGTTCTGATAAACCATGCCTGTTGTTCTTTCACAGTATATAAACCATATATGGCTTATTGAGAACTAAACATTAGTTACGTCACTTGTGCATGCTTAGTAGTGTATCTCTTTCAAACTTGACTTGTATGTGTTATCTAATCTGCAGGATTCAATTCGACTCTGCGCCAGGGAAATATCACACACCATGAATATATCCAGGTTATCTGTTTAATTTTTTTGCACTGCAAATGTGTATAACATGAATAATGTGCACTCATTATGATTTGTGTATGAGATTGGTCCTGAGGATTTTAAATATGCATGGTTTTGGAATATGGCATGTGCACTTGCATTTTTTTTTGTTAGCATGTCTGGTACAGAGAATTAAGCGGCTTGGACGCGTATTACACATACATCAATATGGTCTTCCCTTTTCTTGGGCATGCAAATTAGCAAATGCACTTGAACAGATGAACTAAACTTTCTTACACTTTTGATTTATTTTTTTTTGGAAGTGCAGGTTAACACATTTGCTTAATGGGTGCATATGTCATCTTGTGTACACTTGCATTTTAAAATCAGTATATCTTTGTTATCATTTCCCAAAATAATAATCTAACAATCTATTTCACTTCTTTTAAGGTTGGGAAAGGACGAGATGTTGGTTTGAACCAAATAGCACTTTTCGAAGGGAAAGTAGCCGGTGGTAACGGTGAACAAGTTTTAAGCAGAGATGTGTACCGTCTGGGGCAGCTGTTTGACTTCTTTAGGATGCTTACTTTCTTTTTCACCACAGTTGGTTATTATGTCTGCACAATGGTAACCCCTCGCCCCAATCGCACATGATTACGCTTGAAGCAACTTACATGGTCTATGTGATGAACCAGCTCGGCTTGAACACTTGAGTACATGTGTGCACTGCATCCAGACAATTATTTGATTGATATAATTGCTGTTAGATGGGATGAGAGCGACAAATTGCAGTTAGCTAATCATATATCATGGTTTGGTTTAATTGCATTGCACTATCCTAAACTATCACCTGTTTGCTTGAGATCAAACACAGGGATCAAGATACGAGAACTAGGTCTAAATCATATACCATGAATGGGTTTACACCAAGTTAGGCCCTTTCCAGGGATGGGCCGGGAATTTATTTCAAATTTCTGGCCAACTAAATTCCTGGACCATCCAGGGAGGAGCCAGGATTTGGTAGTTTGGCCTTTGCCAAACAAGGTCTTAAGGTTTGAGGATGCAACATCTAGTTGAAGGCTTAATACACCTGTTTGCTGCTTCTCTTTTTTAATCAATGGGGGTGGAGCTTTCTACTCTTCCAAACTCTCATCGAGTGATACGCCTCATATTTTAGTATAAACCCTCATCATATTTTAGTATAAACCCTCATCATGCATACGCCTGTTAAATCATAATAGCAGTATATGTTAGGGGCATAACTTTATATTTAGCAATTAGCAAAAGATAGTTTCACTAACTTGATGGAATATAGTGCTATGTGAATATGATAAATTCTGATCGAAAATACTAGTTCTCATCCGAGGACCTGTGTGTATGATTTCTTGATTGTTGCTGGATAAATAGCTTCTATAACTGCAAGATTTTCAATCTGTCACCTGATACCTAATGTCTCAATGTCCTTATAAGCATTGTTTTGAGGAATGGAATATTGCATGTCCATTAGTTATATTGTTGCCTAGAGGATTTTGGACACGTTTACATCATAGACATTTTTGTAGTTTTGTCAGCAATTCTTTTATTTTGTTTACTATCACCAGTTATTTACTATAACTATATTATTTATGTGTGCATGCAGATGACCGTTCTAACTGTGTATATCTTTTTGTATGGAAGGGTTTATCTGGTAAGTATTTAAATTATAATGTGTTATGCTTCTGAATGCAAGTAAATTTTGCTGAATGTTGCTTGTGTTGTATATTATATATTTCTTTTACCATTCTTACTAGCTATTGCAAATTTGTAAATTCAGGCACTCTCTGGGCTCGACTATGAAATATCTCGTCAATTTAGGTTTCTGGGAAACACTGCACTCGACGCTGCTTTGAACGCTCAATTTTTGGTCCAGATTGGTATTTTTACTGCAGTACCGATGATAATGGGTTTCATTTTGGAACTGGGGCTACTGAAGGTGGGCTTTGTTTCCTTTTAGAGAACGATACATGCTTTTCACAGGGTTGCTGTAAATCATGTTAGGATTCTTTTTTGAGATGATAATCATGTTACAATTTCAATTGTTTTGCAGGCTATTTTCAGTTTTATTACAATGCAACTGCAGTTCTGCTCAGTGTTTTTCACATTCTCTCTTGGAACTAGAACACATTATTTTGGGAGAACAATACTTCATGGTGGTGCAAAGGTATAATTTGTTTGCTAGTGTACGTATATTATATTACCTTTTAGATTTTTTCTGACGCATGGCCCTTTATGCAGTATCATGCTACTGGTAGAGGTTTTGTTGTTCGTCACATAAAATTTGCCGAAAATTATCGGCTCTATTCTCGAAGCCACTTTGTGAAAGCGTAAGTTTCTACTTCCAAGTTTTCAAGTGAATACTTAAAAGAAATTCAACTTATATGAGTAGTTGTCATTTATAGATATCTTCGCCTGATGAAATGGAGCATGCATTTCATTTTGTTCATATTGGTCTTTTAGTATGTTGTATTACAGTGACCCATGCCTACCTATGTTATCAGACATGAGCTATTTTGTGAGAGTGATTGAATGAAATGTTTCCTTATGCATCTTACAATATGAATCAAAATCTGGCTCTATCCCATGTGTCGATATTGGTGGAGGGAAGTGCTAGATACCTTTACTTTAGAAGGCTCACAAGCCCTCTTGCAAACACGCATTTCTGTTTTCTTTTGTCTGGATACTGTAGGGATCTGACTCAACGAATGAAATCTGCAATTTTAATTATGGTGTGCCTGATTGGTTTCTTGACTACTTGATGATTAATCTGATATATATTAATATTTGCAGGCTTGAAGTTGCTCTCCTCCTCATTATCTACATTGCATATGGTTATACAAGGGGCGGTTCATCTTCCTTTATTCTATTAACTATCAGTAGTTGGTTCCTCGTCGTGTCCTGGCTCTTCGCACCATACATTTTCAACCCTTCTGGTTTCGAGTGGCAAAAGTATGTTCAGAATATTCCTATCTTTTAGTTAATTTCTCTTTAGTTGCCTAACATTCAGGTAATATCACCAGTGATTGGGTAAAATCAAGGGATTGTTCAATTTGTTTTTGTGAAGAAACATAACACTATGTTTGATGAAATACCTTTTCTAGGAGTATATAGGGTAGAAACTTACGCTTGGGGTAGTTTTAGAGATGTTCTTGGGGCTGGATAAATTAATTTCCACAATTCTCACTCTTCATTGGCTTCCATTTCCAAACGTCAGGACTGTTGAGGACTTTGATGACTGGACAAATTGGTTACTTTATAAAGGTGGAGTTGGTGTAAAGGGGGAAAACAGCTGGGAATCTTGGTGGGATGAGGAGCAAGTCAGTAACTATGACTGTTTGGAGTGTTAACCGTATACTTGATTTAACCATATCTTTTGACTATTTCACTTATGCACTGTTTTATTGCATGCATACAGGCCCACATCCAGACATTAAGAGGACGTATCCTAGAGACTATCCTAAGCCTCAGATTTCTTATTTTCCAATATGGCATTGTTTATAAGCTCAAAATTGCTTCACACAATACATCTCTTGCGGTAAGTCAGGGATCTCCCCATTGTTTTGCACTGCAAATTTTTAATTGCTATGTTAGCAAACCATTTCGTCACATCAAAACCTTTGTTAAAAATTCAGTTAAGCACGTGTCTGCCTGATTCTTTTTCCATCTTGCATTCTTCCATTCATGTCGAATGCAGTATTAAATGCTGTAGCTCTTCTTTCCTGGCCTAAAAAACATTCATGTGTTTTCGTTAATGTGAAACACTTGGTACTGTGAGGCCTCATGTTAGCTGAAAAAGAATTTTTTGTTAGTTTTGGCATTTGTCTGGAGCACCTGATTTAAAATTCCTATGTGAACAATAGTGTTATAAACCACAAAAGACTGCATGGTATGGATTCCTATAGCTTCTACAATCTAGCAAATCTATCCTTCTGATCTTCTATTATATCTAATGCATTTTTTGGATAGGTTTATGGCTTCTCATGGATTGTACTTCTCGTTTTGGTGCTCCTATTTAAGGTTTGTTACGTTGAAGTCTTAATATCTCTACCTGTTCTGTGATTTTAATTTATATGGGCAACATCATCTAAGCTAATCTTTTGCTGTATCGTGCTGCAGCTTTTTACTGCAACTCCGAAGAAGTCAACCGCCTTGCCAACTTTTGTTCGGTTTCTACAGGGCCTCCTTGCGATTGGAATGATTGCAGGAATTGCTCTACTTATTGCATTGACAAAGTTTACAATTGCTGATCTATTTGCAAGTGCGCTTGCTTTTGTAGCAACTGGATGGTGTGTTCTATGTGTAAGTACAGCATTCCTCTTGTTTCTTTCCTCAAATGTTGCAGGGTTAATGCTGTTTGTAGCACAGATTTTAGTTGCATCACTGGTAGTTAGTTTGATTAGTTCTTACAGATGCGGTCCTGGCTTATGCAAACTTCTCTACTTGAATTTGGTTGCCACATTTTCTATGCTTTGTTGTTTGGATTTTACCCACATGCCTTCTAACCTGTTGCATATCATGGCAGCTGGCTGTCACATGGAAGCGCCTCGTGAAATTCGTTGGGCTCTGGGACTCAGTCCGTGAGATTGCTCGGATGTATGATGCCGGAATGGGTGCTCTCATCTTTGTGCCCATTGTGTTCTTTTCATGGTTCCCCTTCGTATCCACCTTCCAGTCACGTTTCCTGTTTAATCAAGCTTTCAGCCGTGGTCTGGAGATCTCCCTCATCTTGGCAGGAAACAAGGCAAATCAGGAGGCATGAAAAGCCTAACCACCTAACCGCCTGGATATTTTTGTTGTATATTCTTGGAATTGATTAGTGGTACTTGATTTGAACAACACCTTTGTACATAACTGCCTGCCATTTTAGGAGCAAATTATGTATCCAAACTAACAGTGCCATGCCAGTTTAGATGTGAGTATTCATCTCTTGTTTGTAGCCGTAACGACCTGTAATTTGAACATTCCGGTAATTTGGATGCGACAATTCAGATAGCCTGATTGCTGTATTTGAGCAAACAAGTGTCCCGAATCTTTGGTGCTGAGACGCATATAACGCCGTATCAGTTTACCTAGTAGAAACGCAGTTGTGTTACAGTCGTTTCACTGCATTTACTTGCATATGCCACCTGGAGTCCCGGAGTCGTCCAGAACTCCAGATCGTTCACAGGGAAGTTGTATTAAGTTCATAGTGGCTGCTACTATTACATGTCTCTGAAGAACCTGGGTCATCGCTACATGAAATGTGTCGCTTGTGCTGTCGTTATTGTTCTGCTGATCCTTCCGTTCTTCTGTATAGATCTACTGCTCTAGGATGGGCAAGCAAGAGTGAACTCGCCATGATTGCATTGCAACATCCTAGCGGAAAAGAAAGGCTTTTCAAGAACTCCACACCGTTGCAACATTGACAAAGAAAGGGCTCTTGGAGGATCTATCAGGTACTATTTATTTATGTGGAGGAGATGGCTATGGTCCTTGTCATTTCTTCCTTCTCTACATCACCTAGCTAGGTCATTTTCTAAATAAGCTCCCGATTCACTGGCACTTCTGGATTCGTAAGCCACAGCGCCCACAGTTGTGTTGAGTATACCTTACGTTATGGACCATCAGGCAGGCATCAGCACTATCCACAGGGATGTGTTACTATCTAAAAGCTTAGTGCCCCTTACGGATCCATTCTCTCTGCCACTTCATATTTACCATTTATTTCCTACTTGTTGATTGTTACACGTGCTAGTTTTACCACTAGGATCTTTGGGGTACTAGTTTAGGCCTCCTTTGGAATGGAATGGATGAGATTTTGTTTTTTTTCGTAGGAACTAACTAATAAAATTTCTATTCCTTTGTAACTGCGTTCTAAAGAAGTCCTTAAATAACGTAGTCTGCTTTGAAATCCATATAGAAAACTACCTCAGATGCAGCCTACATATGTGCAAATGGCATGGCCCATCTGTTTTGCTTATTGTCCCCTTGCCAGATGAATCCTGGTCATGCCACTAGATTAGCTGTCTGGCTGGACGGGTAATGTATGCCATGTGCCGAACTGCCGACAATGATGATGATTGTGGGCCATTAGTGTCACTATCACCTCTCTTGTAGTTAACCACCTAGCTATGCAATATTGCAATGGCATAAACACCTGCATGCTAGTAATAGCCCAATAACGGTTTCCTAGAATCCAGACACAACTTATGTTTGTCCTGCAGTGAAGTTCGACTCTGTTCTGCATTCATCCCTTTCCTGTAACCATTCAGAGAAAATCCTGCTTAATAATCTTTATGGAGAAATGCAGTGCTTCTACCCCCATTCTAGAACTACATCAATATCCTACTGGTGATCTAGCCTGCCAGGTGCAGTTCGTATCCGCCTATCCGGGGATCTGAAAATTATCATGAACCTACTGGTGATTGCTATGCTATCAGGAGATGCCAGAGCACTAGCTTTTTTCTAGTTGCATTTCGACAATTCTTAGTAGTTACAGGAACAATGTTGGCTACATGTTTATTGGTTTGCACCCAATTTATCTTAGCATGCATGCAGGAAGGAGCTCCGTATGCTCCCAACAAGCCATTGAACCGAACCACTGTTTGACAGAAACAGCCTAAACGGAAGCTGATGAGCACCGTTGATGTGCCTGCCTGTCACACTTCATATAAGCCATGAGCACCATCATATTGTCCTACTCATCATTGCATCACTCGGGTAAACTCTGTAAATTCCCTCTCTGATAATGAAATCCCTCTTTAACTTTTACAGATTGTGAATCTCTGCAAGCAACACTTGCCGATAAGCAACAAGAAATCAACAGCAGTAGCACAGCTAGGTGTGATTAAAAACCATGACAGTGTGCTTGAATATATTTTAGCTCTTTCCTCTTGTCTCCATGTATGCAGCCATCTCTGTCTGTTTGGTAAAAACTCAACTGAATTGTAACACCTTTTGTTTATGAGCTTACAAGAAAAGTTTTGCCCTGCATGAGAGTCCTAAGAATTTACTCTCTTACCACGTGAAGGATTAAAATACCTTTTGATCAAGATGATGCACTGGATGATGATCTTTGATCATTATCTGTTACAATTTACCTGATCCATTTTACCGCGTGCTGAACTAAAACACCTTTTCCTTTCTCCCTCAAGCTTTAGGTGATTATGGTTGTTGTTTTACTGCTACTGAAATGGATGGTAAAAAGAAAATGTATGATGTAACTTCTATACTTTTGCAAGGGCAGGAAATGTAATCATACCTATGTGTACGTTTCTACTTCTCTAGAAGAAATATGACCTTATTATTGTGAAGAAATGAGAATATGAAGGGTTTATCTGCACCAAATAACAGATAACACTTGTGCTTAATGATTTGTGTACTTCTAAAGGAATTTTACGGAGCAACTGACTCTGATCATGTTTTTTCCAAGACTAATCATGTGTACGAAACTACAGGGAACAACCAAGTTTCAACAAATTAACATGCACAATGATTCAAGAAAGGGTACTTCTTCAACCTTGGTACTTATGAATTATGATGTACTACTAGGCTTACAATTATAGAACTGTGTTATAGATGATAACTTGTACTTTCATCTATCATTGGATCAATAAAGCAGAGCACTTTCAGAAATGTATCATTTCTCCCTTGCCTTCATTGATGATGCAACGAGGTTGAGAGTGAGGCAGAGCAAGCATCGGTTGGACCACAGGATTATTCTTGCGGAAGGTAGGTACGTGGTTGTTCCATTCTAGGTCCATGGTTTACCTACTAATATCTTGTCATCCCTTGTGGGACAAGGCTTTTTTGCTTTGTGATTATACTGCCACTTTGTTATCCTCTTGAGCACTCCTGCGCATTACAATTAATTGCATGACAAATAGGAGCTATAGCTAGCTACATTAAAGTCAAACTTTATGATGTCTTAATAGTTTGTGGATTAATCCATTTTTCAGGTAACCGGTGAAGATGTCGCCATTGAGAGGTTAGTTTCATGGAAAGGCTGTGCCTTGCCTTGCCTTCCTTGTTAGATTTTGCTTATGTATCATTCCAAGCGAGCAGTTGCAGATTGTGAAAATGACAAAATAGAAACTACTTCATGTAGCTGGGGAATTTTAACGGATGTGTATATATATATATATATATATATATATATATATATATATATATATATATATATATCTAGGTCAAATGATATGTTCTTGACTTGTTAATCATATCGTGTGCTTATGGACAGTATTCAGCACAACCAAACTATAATATGCACGTTTTCTTGCATGCTAATCCGACAAGAAGAAGAAAAAAAGTTTCTTTGGACAGTAATATTCTCCTCGGTGGTTTAATGCAGGAGTGGAATAAGAGGCCACTGTTGCAAACTTACTCAGTAGACTGAATACTTACGACTAAGATTATATTGGACTATTGGTGGACGGTGGCACTCAGGTAACGGGAGCTCAATGATTCAAAACCGACTCTACACTAATTTCTTTCAGGTATGTAGAGCCAAAGAAAAGTTGTTTACTTATTCCATTAAACTAATAATTATGTTCTTGTCAGTTTGTGTGAAACAAAAAGTTTCAGAATCTGCAGTGACAAATGCAACCCATACCATTTGGAAACTTTTGAGAACACCGAGCAAGTCATATATACTTAATTTGATAGACAGCTAATGATGGTTGTTCAAAGCGTATCCTGTATGGTTGATTAGCCTATGTCACAATGCACTATTTCCTAACAAATAGCAACTCGAAGTCTCCCTTCTTCAACATTTCAAAAGCAGCACAATTTCAGGAAATTTTCTAAAAGTTTTAAATTATTCACACTTTATGCATAAGAAAGTCTAGGTTTGACACATTGGTAGTCAATATGTGAAGTTGACCATGCTCTGCAGCCATCGCATGCATATTTTATATTCCTTTTTCATCGGTTAGGTAAATCTGTGTATGTCACCATACTGTGGACTGGGTTGCGTAGATCGCATGCCAACGATTGAGAGGATTATTTTCAGGTGGTAGAAGCTACCTCTGTAACTTAATTTACTTTTTCGATCTGTACACGTTAATTATATTTACCTGATGCATACAGTTTAGGATATCTTAATAAAAGTTTTACGTACAGCAATGATCGATGCATAACATCTGCATTCGATTTCTAACCATGTTGCTATTGAATGCTCCGCTTGTTAGACCAGTTCGTGCAGAAAATACTGCTACTGTACTACCAAGACATGTGCCTTTCTGATCGATCCCTGTACATTAATTTGTTCTCTCTTGCACATCAATTCTGTTGCACAGCAAACTGTACTAGTCCCTACATGAAAGTCACTGTAGAATGCTTTCTGAAGCCGCCAAACCTGAGCTATATATTAATGCCTTTATAAACGTGTGCAAAGGAAGAGAGAGAAAGAGAAGAGTAGGTTCTTCCTGTTCAACAATTATCCATAGGCTGTCTATGCTTTGCCCCAACATGGACATGACAAAACCTGCATGATCAGAAAGCGATATATACGAAAATTTCCGGGTACACCAGATATAACTAAATGTATAAAAACAATAAAACGTATATATAGCCCATTTAATTAAGGCAATAGAATTATAAATGGTGGCCGTATGTTTCAATTAATTTGTAACAACGTGCAAAATTTACATTGTATGCATAAAAAATAATTTCACCGAGCAAATTAGTTGTTTGATTACTAGCTGCGTCAGGAGGTGGAAAATAATGAGCTCGATCAAAACCTTCCAACTCAACAACTCTGTCAAATTCAGATGATAAGCTTGTAATAACCTATGACCATGCATAAAATGGATTTGACAGGCATATATATACATATAGTTAGGGCTGCTAAAGGATGATGCTAATAATAATTAAAGCTTTTGATCGAGAAGAGAGGTCTGCAGCCAGCAGATGAGAGAGATGAAGCATAGGCAAGCGCAAAGGTGGGATAGTCAATGGCTTGTGGTGTCGGGAAATGAGGTATACCTACTGGCTAACTAATTGTCTGACTTGTGTTTCAGGACCAGAGAAAAATAATATATTTATTTTTTATGGAAAGCAAAAGGCACAACTAGGAGCCATTTTAACTACAAGTACACTCAAGTAGCTAATGATATTTCCACATCCGATTTCTAACGAATCTAACAATACATGCACAAGCAATGAAGCAAACAAGATCTGCTGAAACAGCCCAAACACATATCGGATACATGGAAATATATATATATGTGCATTTATGCTATACACATTAATTAGGATTTGCTAGATTTGACTTTCATTATTATTAACTACGGGGCTAGCTTAAGTGTTAAAACTTCCCTTGATTATTTGACTGTGCTATATATACTGACCAATATATTAAGAACTGATTAATATATGTAGGTTCATTCTTGTGGAGAGAGTTCTAGAACATAGGGGCCGGCCGGTGATTAACCTTTTCTACTTTCACAAGCTACCCATCCCTCTCCATCTCCAACTAACTAAATCTTTTTAAGTCATATACCGTTTGCATGTTATCTGATGCATCTAATAACCGCCCTGGTTAGTGATATGATGTGTCTAACCAGTAATTAACCTCGTTTCGGAAAGACACGGGCTAAAGCTAGCTAGGGAAGCTGCATATGCATGCAGGGGCCATGCGTGCTGATGTATACGTCCGTTGCTTTTTTTAGTTTCTTTTTTTTTATCATTTATTCTAGACAATGATATATATTAAATCCCCTGGCAATTTAATTAGAGGGTATACATATATAATACTGTGCCCGAAAAGAAAAGAAGATTGTTCTCTGTCGAAGTCCTGCTGTGAAAATGAACGGCTTAATTACTTTTTTTTTTGCGGGGATGAACGGCCGGCTTAATTACTGTTCTGCTTAAAACTGGTTTCGTATATACTATATTAACTAGAGTAAACTTGAGACTATATATGGATTATATATTATAGCCGTACGAAATCGTAAAATATATATATATATATATATATATATATATATATATATATATATATATATATATATATATATATATTGTAGTACATATAGTCATTTGATTGATTTTGTTTCAAGTGTATCTAGGGATTGGGATTTTGAAATGGTCCAAAAGGAAGCTAGCGACCACATCAACAATAACAGTTTTAGATATCTGTTGGAGAAGCAATTTATATATTGTTTATTTTTGTTCTGACAACGCATACCTAGCTTAATTATTCCGAGATCGAGCAATTATTTCAATACCGTGACGACCAAAATTTAGCTTAGTCACACACGATATTAGTAGTAAATGGTGTGTCAACAAGTACATATCTGAACAGAAGTCACACTTGGACATAAAAATGGGAAAATTAATGTCTTAATTTCATGTCCCAGCTATCTAATCATTACATATATTTTTTCCTCCTTGTAAAGGGGTAAAAAAGAAACGATAAAACTAAACAAACAAAAAAACACTACTGATCGAGTGTTCCATGCATGTTCTTTGTGTTCTTTCTACATAACTAAAAGTGGACCAAACCACCTTTTCTGATGTGAACAAACAAATAAACTTGACATCAACCGATCCAATAGTTCTCTTCTTCTTTTTTTTTTGGGTTCATATTATCTCCATTTAGTATCCCTTTAATTATCTAGTTCTTCACATCTCACTTGTGTTGTTTTTTGAAATATACATCTCACTTGCGTTGTTGCTGCTGATCAACCATGATGGGCATTGCCTGCATCAAATTAGTATCATGTGAGATAAGTATATATAAGTAGTAACCATTAATCTGTTTAATTTGGCAATAAACTGCATGCAGGGTTTTAAAAGAAGATCAGGGGCACCTAAGCTAGCTACATACAGTAGTACTGAATTTCTAAACTAATATATATAGTATATATTAGATCATGTATTAGAATCTTATATATTGTCCTGACATTATTGTTCCACCTCGACCAGTCTGGTGAACTATATATCAGAGAGGAATTATTGGAAAGATTTTTTTTTTTAAAAAAAAGATTTTTGGATAACAATTGAACTCGATATAAAATTACTTTTTTAATTAATTAGAAAGTTGATGAGAGTAGCTACTCACTCTGCTAGCAATATGTCCGTCATCGCCCAACAACCTTCCATGTCGATGTCGTCCAGGTTCAGCCCGTCGAACGTGCTCGACGCCGGCGTCTGCTCACACGACATGCCGTCGCCGCCGCCGCTGGGGGTGTTAGTATTGCACTGATGATCATCTGCAGCTACCATTGGCGGCGGCGGCGCCATCGGTGAGGTCGTCATGTTGCTTGCGCTCGGGCCGCCCTGGCCGAGCTCCGGCGAGCTAAGCCCGTCCCCGCCGTGGCAAAGCTCCGGCGAGCCCAGCATGTCCCCGGAAATACCGCTGGAAATTCTGTTGAGTAGGCTGTCGGGGGACATGCTCGACATGGCCGGCTGCGTCTGCTGCGTGCAGCTGTCGTTGGTCAACGGCGGCAGGTTGTCGTAGTTGCCGTTGTACTGGCCGAGGCGGCTGAGGTCAACGCCGGCGAGCTGCTGCTGCTGTCCGAGTATGCCGGCGGAGTTGGCGGCGAGGGTGGCGCCGAGGATGGACGTCATGAGGTCTGTGCCAGGTAGCACAGCGGCGGTGGGCGGCGGGGCGGTGGTGGAGGCGAGCACGCGGAGGAGGCCCTGCAGAATCTGGAACTTGGCGGCGTCGGCCTGGAGCTTGATGGCGTTCAAGTCCAAGGGCAGCTGGTGGGCGGCGCCGCCGAGATTGGCGGCGGCCAGGAGGTTGGGGAGGCCGGCGAGGAGGTCGGTGCGCGGGCGGTGCGTGACGGGGTCTATCCCCTGGCTGAGAAGCTTCTTGCGGAGGTGCGTGTTCCAGTAGTTCTTGATCTCGTTGTCCGTCCTCCCCTTGAGCTTCGTCGCGATGGACGACCATCTGCACGAACACGAAAGCAACTCCCTTAATTAGCATATGTATGAGCTAGCTAGCTAGAGGTAGACGAAGAAGAAGAAGAGGCTAGTGGTTACTTGTTGCCGAGGGTGGCGTGGAGGTGGATGATGAGGCGCTCCTCGTCGTCGGAGAAGCCGCCGCGCTTGATGTCAGGGCGGAGGTAGTTGGTCCACCGGAGGCGGCAGCTCTTGCCGCAGCGGTTGAGTCCGGCGAGCTTCGGGAGGCGCCGCCAGCTGCCATGGCCGTTCTTGCCGATGTACTCCACCAGAAGCTTGTCTTCCTCCGGCGTCCATGGCCCTTTCTTCACGTCGGCGTCCTGCTCACAACACGGTGATCTCCCCATCTCGATCTCTCTTCCTAGCTACTACTCCTCGTTCGTTAGCTGAGCTAGGAGGAAGAAGCTAGCTAAGCTAGACGATGGCCACAAGAGTATGTTTAATTTGGATGATAGGTTAGATGGACGGCTATGGTGGGGGTGGTTTTATAGGAGAAGAGGAAGAGAGAGCCCTAATATTATTTAACGGGGCTAATTAATTTAAGTGATAAATAAACTAGACAAGTACACAAAGACCATAGCATTAGCATGCATGCATGATCGATCATATCGAGTCAGCTAGCTAGCTAAGCTAAGTGAGATTAATTGTGGGCTCAAGCAAGCAAACATCCTTCCTTTCTGTCTCTAGCTCTGACTCTTATGCCTGGCACTAATTGATTTCTCACTTTGGGACTTCAATTAGTCCAAAGACTTACGTCCATCGTGATTAGCCATTAGCTCATGCAACCAACGAACCAACGGAAAGCAGCAGAGAGCAGGGGCCAGCTTGCTTAAGCATGTTGTCAATGTAGGTAGCTAAGGTTAGATCGATATGCATTTGCTCTGGGTGTCGTGTGCTTATTGTGTCCTGTTTTTCTTTCCTCCGTACTTTCTGTACCTTAAATTATTTGGGACTTTTGAACATATACATATATGGCCCAATGCAAGTGGGGTTTTATTTAGGATCCCCCCAATTACATTATTTTTCTCATGCACAATTATATTAATATAAGCTCACAATACTATAGCATACGAATTGATATATATTACTACTAGTATATATAAGGATCAGTGTATATATATATATATATATATATATATATATATATATATATATATACGTACTTCTGTACGTATATACTCCTTATATAACTTTGCCCTACGTACGATTTTATTAACGTACCGTGGATGCATGCAAGGATGATGGTGATAATGGTATATATATTTCTACGTATAAAGACATGCATGGTAGATACTGTACAAAGATAGATGTGAAAAAGGCCAGCACATTAGCATACATATATACTAGTACATCGATGTGATAGTAATATTTTCTACTGTGTGTGCGTCTACGAGGGCGACGTGTTACTTGGAAAAATACAAGAAAAACACCTCTCTGATCAAGTAAGTTCATGCATGATTTGGACGTCATGTTACGTACACAATATAGTGCGTTGACACGTACGCTTGACAACTTAATTATCCAGCCAGGAAACTTAATTAGCAAGAGAGAACAAACTAAAGGACACCATTCTTTTCTTTTCTTTTTTTAATGATACTTTATTAATATACTATATACCACCTGTGGTGTGCATACTATATTAATTCTATTAATTGCTACATCCACCCAAAAGTAAGTTCACCTATATGTCTAAATTATCATATAAAAGTATGGGCTATATGTCGAGATTCACGCATAAAAGTGAATTTATTTAGGGAGTATCTATCTATATGTAAGTGTATTTGTTCTTACTAAATCATTAATGCATAGAGAAAATGAATAGGGGAGAAAAATAAAGAGAAGTGCGTACTAATGGTTGAATGACTAAAACGAGAAGAAAATAATTAATAAACCCAATACTAAGAGGAGCATGTGTAATGTTTATTTCATAACAAGGTCCCATAAGTGGGGCCCACGGTGAAGATAGCATGCACCTTGTGAAAAGCTTTGTAGTGTATAAAAACTCTCAGAGGTGATATATATATGGGTGTGATCCACTGCTGTTAAAAAAAGAAAGTTGTGAAGGATGACAAATAGTCAAAATACTCTCTCTCCTTAATTAATTAAGGATCAAGCACTATGGCTGGTACCGGTCTCTATGTTGAGGACAGTTGAAAAAACAGCTGCAGTGTTTAGGGTGGGCTCTATCCCTTTTTCTCCCCTTAATTAGGACCTTCTCTAAAACTAGGGACATATATAGTATAAACCACGTACGTAAAAAAAAATAAAAACTATTATTAGATTAAAAAATGGACGTGTGATATTTATCCATGTTATCGAAAGCAAAATTTCTACCCCCAGCAAATTTTTCTCATGACTGAATCTGTGAGTAGAATTTTTATTCTTAGTGACATAGATAAATCACAAATATTCATTTTTTTATTTAACGGTAGTTTTGGTTTTCATTATATATATGGTTTACACTATATATTTTTCCTCAGAATTAACGTTGCAGATACTTTAAGAAGTCCATAGGTAAAAATATATATTTTTTTTGACGGAGGGAGTATCGTAGTAACTATTGACAATGATACGTTGGTATTTACGTGTACAAATTAATATGTAGGTTTTCGCAAAAGCAAAAGCATTAATATGTCGGCCGGTATACCTGCAGGGCATGCGTGTTTAATTAGGTAATATTGACATGACACACATGTAAATATGGGATGAAGTGTAGATCCAGTGCGTGGACGGCACGTGTTGAGGAGGCAGAGGAGAATTAGGTTCGTGTGGTCTGACACGTGTGTCCTGTTAATTGCCATGATCTAACAACAAATAATCAAGGAGCAAATTAAGCAAGCTAGCTAGAGTATCCAGGAAGAAGGAAGGAACTACTATACCTGCTCGATTGATGGAATGGATATGATAGCTAGATCCCTTGTTTCACACGCACACATGCATGACACGATCAAAATACAATTAAGCAGTTGGTAAACCTCTCACTTAATTTGGTACATATATATATATATATATATATATATTTGCATCAATAACAAGAAGCTATAGCTATGGTCGTTAGGGGTTGGGGCCCACCCAACTAGCTACAGATGTGGAATTCATGTGCATATATAGCTTTTGTTCTTGCCATTGCTCTAAACTGGTCTTTCCTTGTAAAGCAATGATGACATAATTAACGAAACTTAATTGCATTATTATATGTGTACTAGCTACCTACTACTGGATTTTTCACATTTTGGTCCTTTTAAAAAACATATTTCGCAAGTAGACCCCTAGAAAAACTTATCCCAAAAATGGTCCTTTTTGGGGCGCCAGAGTGGCTGGCGCCGTTGTTCAACAGGACGGCGCCAGCCTCTTTGGCGCCGTCCCCCTGCCGACGTGGCTGGGCGATGTTGAGGTGGCTAGGGGGAGTGCGCCAGAGTGGCTGGCGCCCCCCCCCCCCCCCCCCGAAATTTTTTATTTTTGTTTTATTTGTTTGATATTTTTTTCACGCTTAGGGACACACAAGAACCAACCATAGAAAAATTGAACTCAAATGAACGTAATATGTGACATATAGAATTTTTCCTCTCCTCTCCTCTCTCCGAACTAGTGCAGAGGAGAGAGATGTGCAACTTTTTTATTTTTATTTTATTTTTTTGATATTTTTTTCACACTTAGGAACTCACAGGAACCAACCACGTAAAAAATAAACTCAAACGGACGAAATATGTGGCATGTGGAATTTTCCAAAGCTCCACCGAAAAACTTCTCTCCTTGAAAACACAATCTTGCAAGCGGAATTTGGAGGTTTTAATATCGCTGAACCCGGCAGAGCGGGGAGAAACGGATGTAACTTTTTCTGTAGATGTCCGTGCATATATTATTTGCCTGATTCCGAGTCCGTATGAGAAAGTTATGCCTATTTTAATAGATGACATATTTTGTCCATTTCGGTAGAGTTTTGGAAAATTCTACATGTCACATATTTTGTCCGTTTGAGTTTATTTTTTATACGGTTGGTTCCTATGTTCTCCTAAGTGTGAAAAAAATATCAAAAAAATAAAATAAAAATAAAAAAATTGCATCTCTATGTACTGTTTAACTTATATATGTCATTTCATGTGGTTATATTTTGAATTAGATTAAGTAATTTCATATAGTGGTAGAGTGCATTATGTTTAACATGCTGATCAAAGGGTTTTACTAAAAGAGTTATAGTCTAATTTTAGTGAAGGTGCAAAGTAGACTAAGTGGTATGCTAGATATTTTCAGACTTAGCTAAGTGGTAGTTCGAGTTTAAATTTTTTTTGTGGTTGGTTGTATCGTGATCCTGAGTGTGAAAAAACATCCGAAAAAATAAAAAAAAATGACACCGTTGCAACTCCATACAGAGAAACAGGAATGGACAGGAATGGAGGCGGCGGGGCCAGCCATGCTGTCGCCCTCCTCCTGCCACGTCGGTTCGCGTGCGCCACGGTGGCAGGAGGACGGCGCCAGAGAGGCTGGCGCCGTCCCATTGGATGACAGCGCCAGCCACTCTGGCGCCCTAAAAAGGACCATTTCTGGGATTAGTTTTTTTAGGGGTCTATTTGCGAAATAAGTTTTTTAAAAGGACCAAAATGTGAAAACTGCATGCACGCATGCGTAGCTATATATATGCGTATGCATGGGATGGGAGTGACAAATTCTACCCAATATTAATTATTGGCATTATATATTATATATAGGAGCATTCACCACAAACATATAGTAAAATGAATTCTGATTTTTTTAGCTCAAGCTAATTATATGTTGATCCATTTTGTATGGAATATTGATTTTATTGTGATATTTGTTTTCGCGAATATATAATTTAATTTGAATATGCATGGGAAATAATTAAATATAGTGCAACCTCAGTTAATTTGCTCTCACAAAGATGATGCTTTAGAATGCAAGTAGATGAACTAAAGAAAACTAATTAATTCATCAATTTATACTTAATGAAAAAAATAATTGATCGACCTTAAAACTTATAATCGCATATGCTAATAAACGAACTTAATAGTATATGAGTGTATTAGTTTCATCCATTATCTAAAAAAGAATTTAGAAATATGCCATTATAATTTTGCAAAGTTTGAGATATACCATCGGTATCTCAATGACATGTAGGACCCACATGAGTCAATGACATGTGGGTCAGGATGGCATATCTAAAATTTTGCAAAATTATAATGGCATAGTTCCAATTTTCCCAAAAAAGAATATATGTATACTAGCTAGTAACTATATATACATATATAGTACATACACATGAATGGTTGACTTAGCACCATTTGCGCTCTGTTGTGGGAGATCATGAGCATTACAGTTAGCAATACAATGGCATATCCACAACACAAGGCAAATTGACTTTTGAAACTTACACTATATTGCTCAGATGTTGATCCATTTTGTGAGGAGTCATATGTGTCGTTTCCATGTATAATTGATCTTTATGGGAAGTACCTTCGAG